GTTTTGGGGTGTGTGTGGGTCTATCTCCTTCCAGTTTGAAAACCAGAAACGTTACCACGACTGCCCCTCGTGGTGGCGAGAAGGGAAACGCAAAAGCAGAGACTGAACGATTCCGCCTTGCGTCGTAGTGATCAAGTGGTGAGGTTTCATTCTTCCTCGTCCGAGAGCGCTTGATTGGTGAGTGGTACACCATTGTGTGTGTGTTGTTGTTGTTGTTTTTTAAAAATCGTTTGAACATCGTGCAGATGAAGAGGTTTACTACAGCGATTTAAAGGGCTCACGAAGTGGTGTTTGCTGGCGTCGTGCTGTGCTGCGAGTGTGAGATGGGGCTTGTTACGATTGTCTCCACGTCGGCAGTAATGAATGCGTTGCGTGTCTATGTATAAGTGCACACACGGCATATATGCAGTAGACTATATCCCAACGCTGCTTAACACTTAAACACACTACGTACTGCATTGGATCTAGCGTTATCACACACGTACTATATACTCTTTGTTTTTTTCGGTAAAGTCACGTAGGTAGAGAAATAAAATAAATTATTTTATTTAAAAAATATTTTAAAAATGTTTTATTTTATACAAAAAATATTTTATAATTTTTTTATTTTATAAAATGTTATATTTTATATATTTTTTTATTTTATTCTACGTGACTTTACCGAAAGAACCAAAAGCGTATGGATGCATGCAATCGCGAAAGCTTCGAATCAAGAACGTACTCTGTACATCGCACGCACACACGGTACAAAGCACAGCCATTATCGATCCACTGCTGGATTGGAATGCCTCTTCACACGCCTTGGTGATGTGTGTGTGGGGGGGGTGTGAGCCATACTTCACCAATCTGGTCATTGCTGTGGTTTAATCTCGTCGTAATCTTCTTGCACGGGGAACATTGCGGTTTCAAGTCCATACTGCGTACAGTCGTTTCAATAGGGGCGACGTTTCTGTCAATTTGTTGATTATTTTCTCCCTTAGCGATGGGATTTTATAGGATGTGCATTGGGATTATATCTATATAGGGGACATGAGGTTAAAGGGGCACTGATAAGGGGTTGACGGCTTTAAAGGTCAGCATCGAACCGGTTTTGTGGTGCGGTCAGATTATCGAACCGGTTTCGTGGTTCCGAGGGCGTTGCGTTCTTTGCGACGCTGCTGAGCAAAGCCACAACGTGGAAATTCCACGTTCCTATGGCTGGTCAAGAGCGTCCTCCCACGGGTCGGAATTCTTTGCTCATTATCCTCCATGACTCCGCAGATGGTGATAGGTTACTGTACACGCAGCTGATTAATGATTATTGAACGCGGAATTTATGTTCTAAGTGGTTACGTTGGCTATCACCGTGACAAATAAAACATTAATTTAACACATCCCGTCAGCCACGCACGTCTTGCTTGGGAGTACTGTACTGTACGTATCGGCTGCGTTGGTTGAATAAGAGTGCAGAGATACACTGAAGGTTGTGTAGTTTAAAACACTCCTTTTAAACACGTTATGGGGACGAAGATGATGAATATTGTCGGCTTATATAACGAGTGATGTGTCACTGTGAACAAAGCAGTGCTCTCACACACAAAGCGTCAGCCTAGGATGTTAAAAGTCTTAAGCTCTTGTTAGCAGACAGTGTAGGTTTGTGTGTACACTCTGTTCACTACCAACACTGCAACACACTCACCCACACACTCACCACTGTAGATCACCACACACTCACCACACTGCATGTCACTGCAACACACTCACCCACTCACCACACTGCAGGTCACAACACACTCACCCACTCACCACACTGTAGATCACAACACACTCACCAACACACTCACCCACTCACCACACTGTATATCACAACACACTCACCCACACACTCACCCACTCACCACACTGTAGATCACAACACACTCACCAACACACTCACTCACCACACTGTAGATCACAACACACTCACCAACACACTCACCCACTCACCACACTGTATATCACAACACACTCACCCACACACTCACCCACTCACCACACTGCAGATCACAACACACTCACCAACACACTCACCCACTCACCACACTGTATATCACAACACACTCACCCACACACTCACCCACTCACCACACTGCAGGTCACAACAACACACTCACCCACTCACCACACTGTAGATCACAACACACTCACCAACACACTCACTCACCACACTGTAGATCACAACACACTCACCAACACACTCACCCACTCACCACACTGTAGATCACAACACACTCACCAACACACTCATCCACTTACCACACCGCAGGTCACAACAACACACTCACCCACTCACCACACTATAGATCACAACACACTCACCAACACACTCACCCACTCACCACACTGTAGATCACAACACACTCACCAACACACTCACCCACTCACCACACTGTAGATCACAACACACTCACCAACACACTCATCCACTCACCACACTGTAGATCACAACACACTCACCAACACACTCACCCACTCACCACACTGCAGGTCACAACAACACACTCACCCACTCACCACACTGTAGATCACAACACACTCACCAACACACTCACCCACTCACCACACTGTAGATCACAACACACTCACCAACACACTCACACTCACCACACTGCAGGTCTCAACAACAACACTCACCAACTCACCACACTGCAGGTCACAATCACAACTCACCCACTCACCACACTGCAGGTCACACCAACACACTCACCACACTGCAGGTCACAATCACAACTCACCCACTCACCACACTGCAGGTCACAACAACACACTCACCCACTCACCACACTGCAGGTCACAACAACACACTCACCCACTCACCACACTGCAGGTCACAACAACACACTCACCCACTCACCACACTGAAGGTCACAACAACACACTCACCCACTCACCACACTGCAGGTCACAACAACACACTCACCCACTCACCACACTGCAGGTCACAACAACACACTCACCCACTCACCACACTGCAGGTCACAACACACTCACTCACCCACACTCACCACACTGCAGGTCTCAACAACAACACTCACCAACTCACTCACCACACTGCAAGTCACAACAACACACTCACCACACTGCAGGTCACAATCACAACTCACCCACTCACCACACTGCAGGTCACAACAACTCACCCACACACTCACCCACTCACCACACTAGATCACAACACACTCACCAACACACTCACACTCACCACACTGCAGGTCTCAACAACAACACTCACCAACTCACCACACTGCAGGTCACAATCACAACTCACCCACTCACCACACTGCAGGTCACAACAACACACTCACCCACTCACCACACTGCAGGTCACAACAACACACTCACCCACTCACCACACTGCAGGTCACAACAACACACTCACCCACTCACCACACTGAAGGTCACAACAACACACCCACTCACCACACTGCAGGTCACAACAACACACTCACCCACTCACCACACTGCAGGTCACAACAACACACTCACCCACTCACCACACTGCAGGTCACAACAACACACTCACCCACTCACCACACTGCAGGTCACAATCACAACACTCACCAACTCACTCACCACACTGTAGATCACAACACACTCACTCACTCACACTCACCACACTGCAGGTCACAACACACTCACTCACCCACACTCACCACACTGCAGGTCTCAACAACAACACTCACCAACTCACTCACCACACTGCAAGTCACAACAACACACTCACCACACTGCAGGTCACAATCACAACTCACCCACTCACCACACTGCAGGTCACAACAACTCACCCACACACTCACCCACTAACCAACACCACACGCCACTTCTCTGTCTGGTTCTTCGCTCGCACTCACACGACATTCGCGTTCTATCCAAGCGAGCAGGAAGGGCCCAAATCAGCTGTTTGGCCCCCGGTTTTATTCTTTTCTACGGACTTACTGCGTCTCCGTCGATTGCCGCCGAAGCTCTTGAAACATAAGCAACAACATCGCACCGCTGCTGCTCCATTGAGAAGAAACAAAACCACGATCTTCAACAACAACTCTGCAGCCTTTGCAAGGCCTCTGTGCACCATCAGAGAACGTAAAGACAAGCCCTCTCATCTCGCCTACCCCCTTATCTTCTTCACTTTGACGTGGATTTATTGTTCGCCAGCTTGGCCTGCCTGCGTGTGTTGGGACTTTGCTTCGCAAACAAAAACTCCGTGGTTTTTTTTTTTAATACACGAACAAAGCACCTACAAAGACAGCTGCCGACAACTCAAAGACAAAGATCCCCCGTGTAGCCATTGCGTAGTTGTGTTTTTAGCGAGCACATTGTGAAGGCCGGCACACAAAGACATGCAACTGATACAGTCAACATCCTGGTCCACATGTCTTGTGACCCCCCCACCCCACCTCGCCCCACACATTTAATTCTGCAAAGTCTATTTAAAACCAAACATTTACACGCAAATTTAAAAAACACACAATGCGAGGGGGTCGATTAATAATAGTTATCATCGTGGTGGTGGTGGTGGTGGCAGTAATTGTCGGCCACGTCTTGCTGCTGCAGAGAGCGTGGAGTTGATGGCAGCGAATTGGGGGAAAAACCCAGCCGAGTCAACTTTGACTCGCACAACCACCACAACCACAACAACCACCACAACCACAACAACCACCACAACCACAACCCCGTTTCCCTTCCCTCCCTCCCTCGAGCACGAACGAAGAGGGCGGGGAAATTCCACCACCACCGTTCAAAGACCGTCGGTGCCGTGGTGTGTTTTTTTGTTAATCTGTGTGGGGGGTTTTCTCTCTTTGGCTCACCTCCCAAAGCCCCTCCCTCAAAAGTCCCCTGGTTTTTACCAGCTCACGCCGAGCTGATTTAAATAATTATATAGCGTCATCCCTTCAGGGGCTGTGGGGAAGTTTCCACTTTTGCTTGCTTGACAGCTCCTGCCCTATACTATATATAAAGGTCGGCCACGGTGGTGAAGGGGGCGTTAGTTTGAACGAGGGGTTCTGGTTGTAAGCGTTGTGACCGCCGATGGCAGGAGCGTCTTACTAATAATACAGCACACTCCTGCCTGGGTGGTCATTAGTAGTTGTGGCAACGTCAATCCGCCTCTTAGGCAACAACGCAGAGTTTGCACGTTTCGTTTCTATAGTGGGACCACGCGTTGATGCTACGTCTGAGTGAACAATCATCCCAGTGACTGTCAACAGAGGACTTTATCAGCCAGACAAAAGCCACTGCAAAAGCAGCAGCATCAACCAAACCCTTCATCACATTCACACTTTCAAGAGATGGGAGTTCTCGATTCTGGTCCCCGTCGTTGTATCTTGCGTCCAGCAGCAGCAGCAGACGACCTGGTGGCAGCAGCGATGACGACGACGGTGTCAGAGGTCGCGGCCGACGTGAAGAATTCGCTGCCCAAGAGTTTCAGTAGCTGCAACCTGGTGAGGGCCACCAGGCTCAGAGACGCCGTGGCCGATGACCTCCGCGGAGGTCGCGAGCCGTGCTTTGGTGGCATGCACACCCGCTCGGTGGCCCTGTTCGGCATGGGAACGTACAGCGACGGCTTGAGGAGGCAACTGGAGAGGCATCTGCTGGAGATGGAGATGCAGGTGGAGCTGGAGAGGAGGAGGCTTCTCAACTGGTGCCCGCAGACGAGGCGTCTGTACGCCCTGAAAACTCCCGGTGAGTCAGTCCTGCAGCACATTCACTTTTCGCGTTCAGTCGGGTGTCCTTATTTGCGCCGATTAGCACGGTTAGCTATGTTCGGTGCGGAAGAAGTTCACCGTACATTGTAGCTTTCACACCGGAGCCTAATCGTGTTTTAAGTAATTCGATAAAAAGCGAAGTCACTTACCATGGCATCACATTGTCCGATCAAACCGAAATACGTAAATTTCTCGGAGTATCTGGAATTGTCAGGCCCGATTTATTTTTGGGTTTAAACTGACAATCGGGAACACATCCCGAGCACGCATATATATGCATCAGTAGGTTCATCTGTATGTACACATGAATCTGTGAACCTATGTATAGCATTGTTAATTATGAATATATTACGTAACCTTTTGTAGTCAGGCAAATGGTGCTGTAGTTGCATGTGCGTTTCTACATGTATATGCATACATAATGCAACGCTTTTAAATGTTTGCATTAAAAAAATATATTTCATATATGGTACATTGTAACTTATATCGGGAGGATAATTATTACAATTATTTTAAAGGGGACGTTTTATAACAAATATTGCCGGCGATATATCAGATTACGTACGTTTTAATTACAGTAGACTCTAGATTTTCAGCGCTAATGACGGGGAGGACGGCCACAGATTATTCAAAATTTCCGATTATCCAAAAAGATAAGCATTTTCCGCGGATCTCTGTGCCAAAAACTAAAGTTTGACCGATAAACGCGCGTGCTCCCACGCAGAAAAATCTGCCCAATAAGTGGACAGCAGAGCCATGCCAATCAAAATCAATCAAACTCCGCCCACTGTTGTAAATATATGCAACTACTGTACTGTAGAGACGATCGCGTGGATTTCGGATTAACCCACTTATAATAAACATTTCCTAGAATAGCAGTGTATAGCTGTTTTTAGATTATGAATCTTGGCTTAAGGGTATTATATCAAATTCTCAAGGTGCGCGGTTAATTCGCAAATCGGATAAACCGCACGTGGCTTATCGAGAGTCCACTGTACTGGTACGATAGCTCGCAGAGTGTGGAATCCACGCACAGATATTGCCAAGCATTGTGACTTGAAACGTTTGCTTTTGAAGGTTGTATGAAATTCCACATCGTTTCCTTTCCACACTGGGATTATTGAGGATCAGGGCACCTCGCCGTATCCTAGATTTCAGGGTCGGCCGCGTCGTTGAGCTATTATTTGTGATAGCCAGGTCACTTCTGAAAGAGAGCTATTTAGTATAACGCAGTGGGCTTTACCTGGTTAAATAATACATTGTTAAAATTTTGTTCAATGTTTGTATAATAATTATTATCACGAATATTACGCACGGGATGTTTAACGGAGTGCTTCCCCGTCCTGCGCGCCGGGCCCCCACAGGCGACGGGAACTGCTTGGTGCATGCGGCATCGCTGGCCATGTGGGCCGTGTCGGACTCGGAGTGCACGCTGCGATCCGCCATGCACTCCTCGCTGTGCGACCCGGGGCTCGCCGCAAACTTCCGCCGGCGCTGGATGAGGAGCCGCGCCTCTGCCGACGGAGCGGAGGAGCTCGGATTCCGATATTCCACACGGGTACGATGACGAGCGTTTTTCTTTTTACACGTTTTTATTTAACTCACTCTGTCTGTTGTTGTTGTTGTCGTATCCTCAAATCTTGTAACTCAATTTTAACCCACTTCCCAATGTGGTATCGACTGCAAACTTCGTATACTTATGTCATACTGATGACAATACTATATTCTATCATAAAAAAAATTAAACCATCTTTTTGATATGTTATGTTTCGGCTTGGGTCTAATTGTCCACGCAACTGACGTTGGCTGTAAATCACCACAGTCCCTTACGTTATGGCAAGCTTCGGGGCCACTTCCTGGAGTCGTCGAGTTTTGCCATTAGGAGTATGGTACATTTCATTAAAGCGTGTTTCTAAAAAAGTATTTTTAAATATTAATTATTTTTAAACACCTTGGACGTAGCTAGGGGTTTGTTGCCACCTCGAGAGGTGCAACAAACGAACGAACGGGGGCATGTCCTGGATAGAAGGTTTAGACTATCTCATCATGCCGGAAAGAGCGGGAAGACCACGGACATAAACGCTTTGTGCTTCGAGTGGTGAATTATTACGTAGGATTTTTTTTTCATGGGAAGACTCGCTGATATTACCAAGGACAGCAACCCTTTCTCTCGTGGTTATTTTGTCCAGTCTCAAAATTCGTCCAATTAAACTCATGTCCTCGCGTTATCCATCCATCTATGCTGCAAACTAATTTTTGTAACATCAAGTGCATTTTAGGCGAGTATTGGATAAGCCCCAGCGTTAAATTCCACGTTCCTTCACCGACAGCAAGTCAGCAATATCGTTCATCCAACAGGAAATGTAGCTTGCTCTACCTGAGCCAACTAGCTTTTGATAAGTATAGCTTCGAGTACATGGACACAACTCTTATTCTTGGTTACCTGATGGAACCAACAACCCTGTTTGGTACAGCGACCGCGTTGCCACAAACGGGTGCTTACTGACGCAAACGTTGACCAACTTTCGTTCCACAGGACTGGGAGGAGGAGTGGAGCAAGGTGGTGGAGATGTCTAGGCCTACGGAACACTCGTCGCGTGACGGCTTCCGCTTCCAGTCACTGGAGGAGATCCACATCTTCATCCTGGCCAATGTGCTGCGTCGACCCATCGTCATTATCTCAGGTACACACACGCAGTCCGAGCATCGAAGTGCAGCAGTGCAGTATACAACAAATATATTTTGCTGCACCGCCCTCTGCTGACAACATAGCCCTGCCGTTATTTCATGCGTAAATTATCCACGCAACTCTCCTGGCTCGGCTTTGCTTTGCTGCCGAGATCCGACAGGATTCGGGTGATTTGGTCACGGGCTCTTCGATGAGAGTGTACGCGCGCCGCTGTCGTTCGACCGTCGTCAGCGCGTCGCACGTTTCCGTGCGAACTCACGCCCTGATTCTTGTTCTCCCGCACGCACGCACGCACAGATGTCGTGCTGAGGAGTCTCGCCAGCGGGTCCACCCTGGCACCGCTCAACATATCCGGGATCTACCTGCCCCTCAACTGGCTCGCGAGCGCATGCTACCGCTACCCGCTCGTGCTGGGCTTCCACAACGGACACTTCGCCCCCCTCGTCTGCATGCAGGACGGCCCAGCCGGTGAGGCCAAAGTTCAAGGGGTCATCGCGGCCCCATGCTCGTTGATGCGCCCGGACAATTAACCCTTGCTTCCTTGCTTCTGCCTTATCCCATAGTCTCTAAATTGTCCGACCTCAGAGGCCTGAACCCGCAGTCGCATTCGGCGTCTGCTATCTAGGCGTTGATTAAATCGCATTCGGCGCTGCGTAATCTGGAGTCAATTGGACTGTTGACTCCATTCCAAACTTAACGTAAACTACATTAACTCAGACAAATTATTTGGCGATTAATCCACTCTTACCTCAACTGGCATCTCTACATGCTCTGGAGCAGGGCAATTGCTCCAAAACGTCACCGGTTATATACTCGTTCTTTTTAAGGCCACAGTGCTATTGATGAATGTATTGAGTTTAAATGTTTTTATTCCTACCGGGTGACATTTGCGTAGGGTGCTGGAGGGTTCATAGCTCTATTTGACATTGTACCCACGCAACCTTAGCCCATCCTCACCCGCGTTGCTTTTATTTTTGTCACAGCTGAGCAGCGCAAGCAGCACGCGTTCCCACTGGTGGACAGGCACCGCGCCACCCTCCCCCTGCAGTTTCTCCTGCCCGAGGAGGAGCAGAACAAGACGTTGCTGCTGCAGGAGTACATGGACACTCAGGAGGTGGCGATGCCAGGCCAGAGAGCCTCTCCCCCCATCCTGATGGCAAGGTGATTTTACCGCGCTTTGTTAACCACGAGGAATTGCACGCGCGGGGCCGCATCGCACCGTACGCCAGCTCACGAATAAAAGCTGACGTTACGATATCAGAACGTCGCGCAAATATATTCTAACCCCGCGGCATCCCCCAGGTTGCCACCTGTGAATACCGGCGACGACCTGGACCTGGTGAGCGACTACCGGGAGGTGGTGGAACGCAAATTCCGCGCCGGCACGGTCCGGGCGCCAACCTCTGCCCTCCGAGCTCCGGTGGCCCGGCGCGCGGACGACGCCGCCGCCAACACGATGTACTCGGCCACCAACGAGGCGTGCAGCACGCCGGGCTGCGGCTACATGCGCTCCGTCCACACGGGCGCCTTCTGCCACGAGTGCATCAGCAAGCTCCGCGCCGGCAGCGCCGGTGTTGTCGGCGGCACCGGCGGCATTGGCGACGTGGCGGGAAGGAGGGCGCTCGCGACGACTCCAGCATTTGGAAGCCCCAGAAGAGACGGAAGCTCGGGAGGCGGAACGCCTGGGGTGCCGCGGCGGCACCGCCGTCGCCGACCGGCGTCTTGCCGTCGGCGCCAGAAGCTTCCGGCGCTCCTCGTGGAACCGAGCGGTATGAAGTGCTCCTCGCCCACGTGCCCCTTCACAGGCGATCAGCTCCTCGCGGGCTTGTGCCAGAACTGTTTCCACCTCCGGCAGGGACGCCGCTCGGCCAGCGAAAACGTCGGCGGTAGCGGCGCCGGCGCCGCCGAGCCTCCGACCGCCGCCAACGCCGGCGGCCACGCCCCGGAGCGCCGGCGCGAGGAAGACGCGCACGAACGCTGCAGCGGCTGCGGGGAGGGGGCGGCGCTGGGCAGCATCGCGCTGTGCCAGGCGTGCGTCGACAAGCCGTCGCTGGCGCCGACGATCCGCCGCGAGGAGGGAGGCCGCGGGGCCGCCGAGCCGGCGCGCGGATCGGCGGGGGGGGCGGCGGCGGCCGCGGTCGCCGCGACGTTGGAAGCGCCCAGAAGCGAGAAGTGCAAGACTCCCGGCTGCGATTTTTTGGGACGGCGACGAAGGAGTTTTACTGCACCATCTGCTTCCTGCAGTACTTGGAGAACAGAGGTGAGCCCGGGGTTGGGTTGCCACCTGTCCTGGTTTTCGCAGGACTGTTCCATCTCGAGAGACCTTTGGCCTCACACTGAAACCCACAGACACATCACAGAGACCCATGGACTCGCACACTGTATCGCTCACTTTCAGATCCGCTTCTTTTGTTTAGTTTGTTGCCCTTCCCCCCACACCTGCGATTAGCACGTACGGTGCTAAATAAATAAGTGGACTTTCGGGCCAGACGCAGTGCCGGATTAAGCTAGTGCGGGGCCTGTAGCATATGTTATTAAGGGGCCCTACATTTTTTAATGTGCATAGTAAAGTAATTGTATTTTTTCATTTGTCATACAGCCAGATAATACGACAAATCGCTAACCTTAAACACCCGGTCATTCATAAAAGTTGAAGGCAGTATAGTACTGTAGAAATAGAGCAAGTGCAGAATTACTGAACCGGAATTGATAGCTTGAAAGCATTTAGCGCGGGGCCCTTGAAAGTGCGGGGCCCGTAGCATTTGTAGCTACTTGTGCTACGAGGATAATCGAGCACTGACCGGATGACCGCTGCCAACTCCACTCACTCACGCTCTCCACTTAGTGCCACACACGCACAGCCATCGCACGTCCTGACAGTCGCTTGACCTTTTAAAAAATATATTTTTCTCTCGACTCAACAGCGGCGGACGAGATGCAGCCAGGCGGCCAGTACGCCGAGCCTCCCAGAGGGCCCCCGGCCGCAGGGCCTGCGAGGCAAGAGGGGGGCCGGGTTCAGTGCGTCACGCTCGCCTGCCGGCAACTCGGCAAAGCCAGGCTGGACGGCTGCTGCACCGATTGCTACCTGAACAGGGCTTCCGAACGCGAAGAGTGGGAGCCAGCCCTGGAGCTCAGAGCGGTGAGTCTTGTTTGTTTTCAGTAGCAATACCGTGGTGATAATATCCGCAGTAAAGTTTCTGGGATTTTGTTGTTGTTTTGGGTTAGATCACGTGAATATACATGTGTCGTTTAACACCCGCCACCACCCGACACGGCCAAATTAGCACGGTTTGACACGTGAACAAAACGCGCCAATTAGTTACTACTTCAGCACACCTGATGTGTTGGAGAGTGAACCCACAACATTTACAATTTGAGTACTGTGACGTTTCGCTGGTGATTGTTCAACCAGCTTCATCAGGCGATGTGCTATAATTGCCTGATGAATTGCCTGCGTTAACGAAACATATTTATGCGATTATTATGGATAACATTGGTCGTGAAAGCCTACGTGTTCCACTGTAGTAATAATAATTTACCAACATTTTCGAGGCTAGACTGAGATCATCATCGTCATTCTCATTGATTATTCATAGTGTGCCTCCCGTGCAGTAAATGTCGAGGCGCCCCCTGTGATTGGGCACATGTTGAGAATTGGTCAACAAAGGTTTAATTATAAGGGCTGCAGAGATGTAGATACCCATAGACACACACATAACTATAGACACACACACAGAGACACATAGCCTCACACAAAGACCCATAGACTTACACAGAGACACATAGCTTCGCACAGAGACACATAGACTCGCACAGAAACCCATAGCCTCACACAGAGACACAGACTCGCACAGAAACCCATAGCATCGCACAGAGACACATAGCCTCACACAAAGACCCACAGACTCACACAAAGACCCATAGACTCGCACAGAAACCCATAGCATCGCACAGAGACACATAGCCTCGCACAGAGACACATAGCCTCACACAAAGAACCAGAGACTCACACAGAAACCCATAGACTCACACAGAAACCCATAAACTCACACAGAAACCCATAGACCCGCACAGAAACCCATAGCCTCAAAATCTCCGCCGGCACCAACTTGGCGAAATCTTTAATTTTCCCCAAAAAATCCTGCTGTCTTCGCCCGCAGGCTCCGGCAGCCGCCCCCAAGTGCCGCACAGAATCCTGCGCGGACGACGCGACCGCGGGCGGCGCCCTGTGCGCCGCCTGCCGGCGCAGGAACGAACAGCTGCGGCACACTCACCCGCAGCGGCTGCAGCGGAGGCAGACGTCCGGGGCGGCGGATCGTCCCGCTGAGCGCGAGCCGGTGGTCGCGCGCCGGAACAAGTGCCGGGCTCCCGGCTGCGAGCACTACGGCAACGGCGGCTGCAACGGCTACTGCAACGAGTGCCACGCGATGATCCAGCTGTACGGCCGGTGATATGCGGGCGGGCGCACGACCCTGAGATTCACAGCGTGGTTGACGGCGGCCCGGTCACTGTGCCGAGTCCCTCTACCGGATTGGGCTGGCCCCGTAGCGGCGGTGGCGGAGGGCGGAGGACACCGGGAGAAGACGTTCGAGGTGCTGGCGTCGGAGCCGATATGAGGTGGCGCATAGGTGAGATGGATCCGGCAGGAACGCCCACAGTGACGGCGTTAGGTGTAAGCGGCTGGTTTCACGAGAAAAAATAGGGCGCATCAATTAAGCAGCGGTTGTTTTCGGGTCGTGCCGCGCGCCGTTTTGGGTGTGCGATGTCCCGACGGGAACTGAACGACAAGCGGTCACGACCCGACCACGTCCACGAGCTGGAACGGCACGACCGCGAACACCAACGCCGCGGTAGAATGTTTGCCATTGAAGTGTCTACGCTTCACTCAAGGTGGCGCGACAATTTGTGGCGATCTGTTCACCGGACAGTCCTCGCGATTAAATCGGCTGTGCTGCCATTCGTGCCGGGGTGAGCATGGTGGTCCGGAGAGCACCGCCTCGTGGAATCAGATCCGGATCATGACTCTACATCGCTCACGGATCATTCAAATGAGCCCCAGTTTGTGGCACGTGTAGCAGTGGTTTTGCCATGGAAGTCAAGAAGCATACGTGGCAGAGGAGATATTTATTGCTGAGCCACCCGACACTACTTTGAGTTGTAGTTTTATTTTTTTACACAAGGTTACGCATACAAATTGCATCTTAAAATACTGTCGGATTTCTGCCAGAGAAACCACAGAGGATGTTTCGGGGGGGGGGGGGGGCGGGGGAGGAAAGGCAGCCTAAACCTGTGCAAATAAATTCCCAAGCTCTGCGGTCCTTAAGTTGGATGTTTGGCCAACCCAATGAGCGGAGTGCTGGGAATAAATGCGCGCGCATGCGAGGGGGTGGTGGATTTTGTTTCTGATTTGGTGCTGTTTTCAGTTGGGACCATAATATACATGGCGGGGGAGGGGGGGTCGTGTTCCAGTGGTGTTCAGTGCACATATATGTGAATATACATTCGGAGAGCCCAATCACTATGCATATGGAAAAGTGAAGTTACAGTTTTGTGGGATCACTCATCAAATTGGTGCCTTTTGCTGTAAATGTCTCCAGCTGGGAATCTCACTCCACTCTGTCCATAACTTACGGGTGAGGAGGGGTTGCTCAGGTTTCATTCCTCTCTGCGTCTCTGCCTTTATTACACTGTGACTGTGTGTGTGTGTGAATATAATTAATGTAAAGAGGTGTTCATATAATAGCAAATGTCACACCCCAAACCTCACGACCCAACCTTAACCTGACCTCTCAATTGTTTTGCCATCTCTCGCCGTGATTTCGTCATCTGCGACTGGGCAGGCGATTCGTCATTCGCACGCGCTGCGTGCGTCACAGACTTAGCACACAAACAAAACGGAGTGGCTATTTCTGGTGCAGTAGACATACACAAAGAATACGACATGTTGATACGTTCATTCGCGTCAATACTTTTGCTCACGTGCAACTGTCCCGGTGAGACCGGTTGAGCAGACGCGAATGAACGCAGGTGTAACAATACCCAGCACGAGTAGGGACACTCTCATGCTGGTGCATGAGTGGTCGGCACAGCGGACTTGCAATGCAGAGGTCACCGCTTCGATCCCATCTCCGGACGCGGCAGTGTGGAGCAACGGGAGAGCGAGTTTATCGTTTTTGTTCAATCGAACCCCTGCCCGACTCTAACCCAACGCAAACGGGGTTCACCACAATCAGGTCGTTTACGGTGGGTTAAAGCGTGGGGTACTCCCACGCCATCTGGGCAGGCGTGGAAGAGTAGGCCAATTACCCCGTTCGAGGGGGCTGCCCAGAGCTGATCTCTTGAGAGGAGGCCGCTGCCACCAGCAGCGATGCGAGCGAGCGATGTTGCAGGGGCTGCTCCTTTTCCAGTGCTGACCAGGCAGGCAGGACAAACGAGGCAATACAAATGAGAAAACATGGATCCTTGAGTAGCGATTGACCCTGACAAAGGTGAAGATTCATCCATCAGGACGCCAAGCGCAGAGGGATGGGTCTTTACATGCCCGTGATTTAAACACCGCAGCTGCAGCGCGTCGCAAAGACAAAGTGGTATCTTGTGAGCTTAGGGAGGACAATACGTTCTCATCACCTGGGTTTGAATTGCAGCAACGAACCATTGCAAAATATTGCACATTTTATTTGTTCATACGTATGTATATTTTGTTTGTTTTTAAACAACCGTTTGCAACACTGTTGAGTAATATACACACGCGCGTTGCAATTTCTGTCAATTTAGTTTGTTTACGTACAACTGTTTTGCATAGTAATTTAATTCCTTAGCTATAACGGGGACTGTAAATCTGAATTAAACGATTGCTGTTGGCAAGAAAGTCGTTATCGTGGTGCATTCATTTTTGTACTCTTCGTCACGGTGATGGTTATTGCCGTCCGTTTCAGTGCTGAAATTTCTTGACGATGGCGAGATGTTAACTGCCTCGCCTGGTATGCAGGAGATCGTGGGTTCGGTCCTGACCACGATGCCTGCGGTATATTTTGAGTTTGCATCTCTCGCCGTGGTCGCGTTGATTTTTCTCCGGGTCCTCCGGTATTTCCCTTCACATTTAGAATCACCGTCACGCATTTTCGCGTATTTGGCTGCCAGTAAATTTCCACGTGATAAGCCACTTCGTTAAGCTATCATGAAAAAGAGATGTAGCTCGGTGGGCCTTACCTGGTGGAATAAAGAAAATAGTTTAGTTTTCGGTTGGTGTCGCGAGCACCTTCGTCGCGTCGTCAAATAGTTTCGCTCATCGAAGAGGGCGGAAGAGAGCACCGCTCGGGAGGCTCGAGGAGGAAGAAGCAGCAGTCACGTGATGATCAGTCACCAAATTCCCCTCCTCCCAAGCTCTGCGGTCCTCTACATATAGAGGTGTTATAGGCCAATTCGATTTTTTTTTTACATTTGAGGAGGAAGCCCACACGTGCGAGGGTGAAACACTCTATCCGATACATCACATGTAACCCACGCTTGCTGTTACTGCATTGTCCTGGCGAGCCAAGGTTATGGAACCGCGACGCTCAAGGATGAAGGGAGTTTCACAACATTCGTGTGATCCACCAACGCTTGGCTGCCTCCGTTGCGCGGCCATAGACTCGACAGGGTGGTCCAGATGTTTGTGACCCTCCACCCATCTAATTGAAACCTAACATGGTTTTTTTATTTGTATATTTCACCAAAATTTTTTTTCGAAGTTTTACGTTTTAGAGAATTATGTAAAGCAGACCAAACAGCGGGTCAAAATTCCCAGTCTGCACGTGGTCTATTCATTATCAGCAAAAATGCGCAGTTTTAGCAGGGCGATGAGGTTCAATGCAAATCGGATCGCGTGTGCAGAATTGCGGGGCTCTTTTGGGGTTCTCCTCGCAGTGGATTTACCGAGCGGCGAGAAATGACGACGATGGCGATGATGAATTCCCCTCGTAACAAACAAAAAAATCGCACCGAATCTGAGTCGGATGTCACCAACCCCGGGGAGTTGAAATTGTCCCCTTTGGAAGTTATTTTTGCACAATCTGGTCAGCTGGGGTTTTTTTTTTTTCGGGTGGGAATTTACAAACTCCACCCACCAACCAAACAACCTCTCCCCCCCCCGCCCCAATTCGCCTCTCTCAATCCTAACGACGTTCTGGAAACTCCAGCTTGACTCATGGGCGTAAAGCGGAATTCAGATCGGACAAATGATTTCACAAACCCAGCCCCGCCCGCCGCCCCAGCGTGCACTCGTAGCAGGAACAGAATGTGCTGCTCGTGGTGAGGCTGTGTTCACATTGACGTCGTGTGATGACGGCCACTTCCCCACGAGATCTCAGTGTTTTTGCGTGTGTGTGTGTGTGCGTGTGTGAGGGCGTGCGTGCGTGTGTGTGCGGGGAGCGGTGGTGCAGCGGTTAGCGCGCTGCGCTATGAACCCAGCGACGCGGGTTCGATTCCCGCTCACCGCCAACACCAGTGACGATTATCTGAACCGGTCCCGGGCCTCCCCTAGGTCGACACAGCCTCAAATTAGTACCTGGTGCGGTGTGTAAACATCGCCACTGGGGAGACAAAGGCGGTCGGGCGTGGTGCTGGCCACCCACCCCCTCGTGTGCCGTTCTGGCCTTCATAGGTGCTCGCTAACAGTACTTGCCCCTACAGTCTGTTAAGGCTATACAGGGGATCTTTGTGTGTGTGTGTGCGTGCGTGTGCGTGCGGTAGTGTAGCGGTTAGCGCGCTGCGCTATGAACCCGACGACCCGGGTTCGATTCCCGCTCAACACCAAGGACGATTATTTGAACCAGTCCTGGGCCTCCCCTAGGTCGACTCGGCCTTAAAATAAATACCTGGTGCGGTGTGTAAACATCGCTACTGGGGAGGCAAAGGCGGTCGGGCGTGGTGCTGGCCACCCACCCCCTCGTGTGCCGTTCTGGCCTTCATAGGTGCTCGCTAACAGTACTTGCCCCTACAGTCTGTTAAGGCTATACGGGGGATCTTTTTTGTGCGTGCGTGTGTCTATAGTTGTGTGTGTGTGTACGTCGAGGACGCCCCGGTGGCTAGGAGATGTTATCTCCCTCGCCTCCCTACACGGGAGGTCGTGGTTTCGATCCCCACCCTGACGCCTGCTGCTGTATATTTGGAAGTGGTCGTGTGGACTTTTCGCTGGCAGATATTCAAATCATTTGGTGGTAATGCTTCTGCATTGGCAGTGGTGCCTTGAAATTAAAATATATAATAGGCCACCTTTCGCCAAACTTCATCGAACATAAATCCAAAACGATCATTTATATATCGTCCCTTTAATACGACACTGTTATTTACGAATGCGTTCAGTTTCTTTGCCAGACCTTTATTGGAAATAACCGTCTCCGTATCGAAATGGGTCCAAGTTCGCCGAAAAGTTTTTTGTTAAAATCATCATCAGCGCCGCTGTGGAGAATATAAGCAACGCCGTAACATTGCAAACACGTGAGAGTTCACTAGCGTGAAATTGTTGGAAATCCAGACCCTGCTGATGAGACATTGGATGTCGAAACCGGCCCAGAGTGTTTTTTTTCTCGCATTTAAACCAATGCTGCCGAATCAATTCTCTCCCAAAAGGGCCGTCTGTTGGCCGATGGGATGTAATGTACTTCTAGATTTGAAGCTTTCGTGACTGCGTGTATTCATATTCTTAGGTTTTTTTCGGTAAAGTCACGTAGGTAAAAAAATCTAAATTAATCAAAGTAAAATAAAATAAAAATAATGTAATGTACTTGTGTTTTTTTTTGTATGCGGAGGGCAGATAACAGGAGGGGGAGGCATAGTGTCTGCTTATTTATGGGTCCTTGCTGTCGTTCACATGGCGTGACGAGTGGTCGTAAACCTCAGAGGCGTTACAAAGTGACACTCGTCACCAAGGCCTTGGCACAGTCACCGTGAGATGTTCAAGCTAAGCCACCTTGGACCCATGAAAATTCCGCAGCGGTGATAGCCCGAGCAAAGAGAATGAGTGAGTCGCGCACGCATTGCGAAACAACGTCGGCATACCTTGAGTGATTTGCGTTCATTCTTCGACTCTTGACTCACGATGGCTGTTCGACAGTTGCGGTTTCATGGTATGTCTGTGCCTGACTACAGATGACCATTGACACACCGAAACCAGTCTAGCCTGCCTTGAGAAAGCAAAGCACGCAACCCAAAAGCAATGCTCCAGGTCAGTGGTCGAGGGTGCAGGCGGTGGACCTGCACCACGGCTCACAGACTGCATGGATTGACTCAGTTTCGTTTCTAAAAAACACGTTTTGTTGAACCAGGTAAGGGCAACTGAGATATACAGTTCTTTTCAAGAAGCGACCTGGCCACAAATGATAGCTCAACGAAGTGGCTTATCGTGTGGACATTTATAGCAGCCAAATAATCTCTAAACGCACGTCTCTAAATGTGGAGGGGAAAACCCGGAGAAAAATCCACGCGACCACGAGAAGAACATGCAAACTCCAAATATGGAGGCGTCGCGATCGCACCCAAAGCGTCATGGATACCAGGCAAGGTAATTCAGATCTTGCCACCAAAGCACTGGTCCAGGCTGAATAATGATGCGGCAAAATATGTACCGTCTTCTACCTGGACCAGCTCAAGCCTGCCGTAAATCACGTGACTTCTGTGTGACCACCCCGACTCTGTAGCCTGGTGGTGGTGGCGACACTGCTGTATGTGGTTTGCCAGTAGCGCAGCACTGTTGGAGGCAGCAGCATCAGCAGCGAGGGTTGTTGGATCACACACACGTGCTGTGAAACTCCCTTCCCGTGGGCGTCGAGGTGTTGCCACATACTCTTGAGTACGCCAGGAGAAGGCGGCACAGCAAATGTAGACTCCACCTGTACCGCCCGTGTACGGGATAGAGTGTTTCACCCTCGCACGCGTGGGTTTTCTCCGGGTGCTCCGGCTCCCTCCTACATATAAACACTCGTCATTAATTGGCCGATAACATCTCGATATATAGAGGACCGCAGAGCTTGGGCAAGTGTCCGTTGCGCCGGCTCCGCATCGCCGCCTTGGCTCCCTGCTGCTGCTGCTGCCTTCCCGGTTCCTCCTCCTGTCGCCTCAGAGTCGTCCCATCTCTCTCCACACCTGTCAACAACCCCTTGTCAGTGCTGCCTACCTTAGTACAGACCAATTCTGGTCTTATTGGTCACCCCGTGCCCCTTATTAATCTCAACGTTCCATCCTACAAAGTCCCATCACAAGGGAGAGATACAAACAAATAGACAAAAAAATTGCCCGTATTGAAACGGCTGTACGCCGTATGGATCTAAAAACTCAATTTCCCTGTACAAGAACACGGAGTACACCATATGGGTTGACACGGTATGTAATGACAGGGGAGTCAGTTGTGGGTGCGAAGGGACTGGTGGCTACGGGAGGTAATGACAGGGGAGTCAGTCGTGAGTGTGAAGGGACTGGTGGCTATGGGAGGTAATGACAGGGGAGTCAGTTATGAGTGCAAAGGGACTGGTGGCCACGGGAGGTAATGACAGGGGGAGTCAGTTGTGAGTGTGTAGGGACTGGTGGCCACGGGAGGTAATGACAGGGGGAGTCAGTTATGAGTGCGAAGGGACTGGTGGCCACGGGAGGTAATGACAGGGGAGTCAGTTGTGAGTTTGTAGGGACTGGTGGCCATGGGAGGTAATGACGGGGGAGTCAGTTATGAGTGCAAAGGGACTGGTGGCCACGGGAGGTAATGACAGGGGGAGTCAGTTGTGAGTGTGTAGGGACTGGTGGCCACGGGAGGTAATGACAGGGGAGTCAGTTGTGAGTGTGAAGGGACTGGTGGCTACGGGAGGTAATAACAGGGGCATCAGTTGTGAGTGCGAAGGGGCT